CTATTCTATTCTATTCTATTCTATTCTAACGCTATATTTTATTATTCTATTCTATTCTATTCTATTCTATTCTATTCTATTCTATTCTATTCCATTCCATTCCATTCCATTCCATTCCATTCTACTCTACTCTACTCTACTCTACTATTGAGCGGTATATACAGTGGTAAATACAACCTTATATCAAAAAAAGTCCCTTGAGAGAACAAACACAGGTGGGACTGGCAATGCAAAGCTCCCCGTTCAAAGCCTCCCAGCTCCGCGTAGCCAGGGCTGACCTCAGAATCCCCTCACATTTGCTCAGGGTCTGGCTGCCTCCTGCCTCCCGCCCCCACCCCCTTTGAGATCTCTGCCCCCCTCCCTCCGGTGCCCCTGCCGGCACGCCAAAGAGATACCTGTAATTCCTTTATCCAGGAGCAATGCCAGTAAGAGAGGCCAACCCATTTGACAAAGAATTCGCGCTCCGAACGTCCCTGGAGCAACTTGGGAGGCGGGTCGTCTGGGTTGCTGTCAGGGGGCAGCGGGACCGCAACCGGCGTGGGGGGCTCGCCCCACCGCCAGTGGAGGATCTTCTGGACACGGCCTTTTAGCATGGGGCACTGCGAAGAGGAAGAAGGAGCCATCAGAAATCAGGGCACTGATCTCGCCCACCTGCCCTCCTGGAGACAATACAGGTAATTCCTTCACTTACAACAGTTCATTTAGCGACCAACATTACAGCCGCACTGAAAAAAGGGGGGAGGGCTGTTTTGACCTGCTTTCACGCCTACGGCCATCGCAGCAACCCCCCCACGGTCACGTGAAATTCAAAATTCAACATCGCCGCAGTTCTTAAATGAGCCGCGCGGTTCTTCAGTCAACCTGGCTTCCCTTTGCTTGTCAAAAGTTCGCCAAAGAGGAATCACGAGGACTCCCAAGATGCTGCGGCCGTCACAAAGGCGAGTCAGCTGTGTCAAGCATCCGAAGGTAAGCTCCCGTGACCGTGGGGAATGCTGGGACAGTCGTTAAGTGTGACGAGTGGCCCTAAGTCGCTTTTTTGCAATGCCGTTGAAACTTCGAAAGGCCGCTCAATGAACTTTGTTGAGGACCACCAGAGGTATATGCATTTCAAGATAGAGGGTGAGGGGTGAGGAACCCTCTCCCTCCCAGTCTCCCTGGTCATCCCGCCCTCCGGAATCCTTCCCCAGTCCCCTTCCTCACCGTGCAGCGGGGACACAGCCATTCCCCGTTGGGGATCTCCGGGAGAGGTGGGTTGAGGCAGTGGATGTGATAGGAAGAGATGCAAGCGTCGCAGCACAGGAGCTCCCCGCCGTCCTTGCAGACCCGGCAGTATTCCATGTGGTCGTCCTCCTCTTCCTTCTCGTCCAGCTCGCCTTCGTATTCCTCGTCCTCCTCCTTCGGCTCCCACTGCACTCCTTCTTTCTCCTGTAAGCCAGGGACACGACAACCCCACCACCACCACAAAAAGAGACACACACACACACACACACACACACACACACA